CCTATTGCAACCCATAGGTTTTTTTGTCTCATTTATTTTTGTTTAAACAGGTGTGTTACTTCAATCAAGTGACATCAGGTGTTATGCCTTACTTAGCTGCAAATCTCACTGGCTTATCAAAATCCATTGAAGACACTGCTTTGGAATGTATAAAGTTCTTGGAGCTGAAAGGCAGCAAGTACTGAAGTTAAAAATGGGCTTCTGAAGAAACCTGTGAAGATGATCAAGCAGTACTCCTTTAAATTCCTGCTTATGTGTTAATCTTTTCTTTACAGGCTAGTAACTTTGGATCATGTATCCTATATTGAGCTTGAGTCTAAGAATATCTAATACAAGTGTTTTCTATCAAATTAAGATTAGGTTTTAGGCTCCAAATTAAATTTTTAATTTAAAAAATATTAAGGAACAGATTCTGATCTTGATTAGGGAAATGAATTTTACATAAATGTATTGGAACTTGGACTGGTAGAACTGTAGCTCCTGAGGCTATGTCACCATTTTAATGTTTTATTGAATGTGATGGCATCTGATCAGTTTAAAATTAGTAAATATGACCTGTAATTTGCAGAGAGTGCTGCTGCTACGAAGTACCTTATCCAGTGCTCCGACCTGCTTGTCCACGTTCTTGCATACCCATTACATATAAATGGCTTACACCCCATGTAAGTTAGCGTTTGCTAATGTTTGCACTTTATCTGTTAATACTTGTAGTTTATTAGTGACTTTCAGTAAATTATTGTTTCTGAGGTTACAAATTCATTGTAAATTTCATTACGGTATCTCTGGAGCGGCTTCAGATGTTGTTGCACAAAGACTGCTTTGCAGTGACGATGGGGGCTGCTGGCCTCTTACAGAACTGCCGTGACCTCCCGCTGGCAAGCTCCGTGCAAGACTCTTCTTCTAGCATTGGTTAAATGCAGAACAGTAAGACTCCTGGATCCACTCCCTTGCAGATGAAAAGGGAAAACAGTTTCAGAGGTTTTATTGTGGTGTGCCTACTTTGTTTTCGGCTCTTATTTTTGCTCAGAAGAGCCTTTTTCAGAAAAAGGAGAGTGATCATAAGCAGTTAGATCATAACACGAATGTGAGTGTTTGGAGAATCAAAGTGCACTCTAGCAATGCCATTTTATCTTATAACTACAGCAAGAGCTCTAGGGGTCTGGTCCAGTTCCCACTTAAACACCTATTCCGTTTAACCTGTAAGTAGATCAAAGCTTCCATCCGTGATCTGCAGGTTACAGCATGCCTGCACAATTTTGTGTATGGCAAATCTACCAAGGGCAGCAGAAGAGACACACCGGGGATCCTGGAAGCACTTGGGGTAACACCGTGAGTCACCTGACCTTTCCACAAGATTAGTGAAGCTTGGGTACAGTCTTGAACCAAAGCATTAGTGAAATCAGATGCTGTCTTTTACGTCTGACAAAATGCTGGCCACTGTATGACATACAACACAGAGATGCTTTTGCCCTAGCAAAAAAAAAACAACCAGTAAAGAAAGACCTGGTCTTTGGCTCTGGAGGAAAAGCTGTAGCTCTAGATACTTAATTTTTACCACATGGGTAAGGTGCAATGTCTCAGCTTAGGAGGACAGACAGCAGCCTCAGCACATCCCCCACCAGGGAATAAAAAACACTGAAGACCTGCTTGCCTCCTGGCTCAGCTCATAATGGAAGGGTCCAGCCCCCTCCCTCGACCATGAGCTCAGCTCTGAGTCCTGCCCACACTGGCTGCCCGCAGATGATGGCAGAGGAGCTCTTGAGGGGGCAGGTAAGTCCCCGTCGTCCCAATTTTTAGTGAACAGAGACATCTAATGTTCAGCTCTGAACACATGCATGACATCAGGGAGAAGGAGCCCAGACACTGCCTGCGCCAAGCATTTCTCACCAGCTATTTGGGTGGCTTCCTGTGCAGCACAGTCTATAACCTGCCTTTAGAGACATAGCGAGCTCAGCTGTGAAGCTGCTGCAAGGGCTGCCTGGAGAACATTATTTGGCATTTTTTGAAATATTAGCCTTCTGTGAGAGGCTGTTGTTGTGCAAAGCACCGCAGAGCTAGGTCATGTTCTGGATACAGCCACCACACGTTTTTGAGGGGCGTAGGCATGGGAAGTGTCTTTCTGACATAGACCAAGGATTGCATTTCACCAACCTCTGTGCAACTTCCAAGACAAGATTTAAATTTCTGGCGTGCAAACTTTGCTTAAACTCTTAATTACTTGTCTGACTTCTAAATGTGTTTGTGGGTACAGTGCATCTTTATGTACAGCATTTTTCTCAGCTGCTTAGGAAGCAGCTTTCCTCAACTATGCAAATCTTTGTGAAACAATCTAAACCAAGATTAGTGAGTGCATTTAACAAGTAGGTTTGTCCAACAGTTACTGAAGATTTCTAACCTGTGCAGCCGCTCCAGAGAGTGTAGTGCGTTTCAGCGCCTCATTTTCCCCAGCAGTCACTGAAGCAGAGGACAAGAGGGAGACATACATGCTCCCAGCCCCGTGCAAGCAGATGTCTGATGACCTGAAAGCTGCTGCTGACTTCACACTGGAAGTCTTACAGAGACTGTATCCTCTGATTTTCTAAGTCTGAAGAAGACCATTATTTCTCCTCAGAGGACAAGAGAGCAGTAGTCAGGTGTAGGAGTGTGACAAGTGTTTCTATAGTGCAAAATGGATCAAAGCAACAGGTTTGAGACTCAGGGTTGCCTTATCCACAGTCCTCCACAGGAGCACAAGGACTGGATGACTGCTGAAGAGAAGGCTGGGCTCAGAAGATGCCCAGCCATTTTGAGAGCAAAGGTTAATCCACCGCTTCTTGCAGGATTTCTTTTGCCAAAACAGCCATCTCAGTCATCCTGGTCTTAACAGCCCCTTTTGCCGAGCAGAAGGGGCAGCAATCAGCTGTGGGAAGGGAACAGTGAATTTTCCTTTTCTCCAACTTAGATGCCATACACATTATTTAGCAGTCAAAGCAACTCGGCATGCAGCAGCACAGCTGGGTGACAACATCTTACTTGGAGCAACAGACCCACAGCAGCTGTTTCCTCAGGAGGAGAGGCCGTGCCCCGAAACCACAGCTCGCACACCACGCTGCCTACAGCATCTCCATAGTAGGGGAGAACTGGTATCGCTGGGAAAGTCACAGTGCAGTTCCCAAGTTCTTATGGGTAAAAGAACATATTACAGTATCACAGAGTATTTAAAGACTGGTATAAAAAGATGCTTTTTAAACAATAGTGCTTATTCACATAATAGGCAACCACGTTTTTTAAGCTGGGATGTCAACTGTAAAACTTTGAGCTTTAATCCAATAGTTAATTAAAATCTCTGTAATTAATCCTTGATTTCATCCACATCCACTCCTGTTCCATTTAAATGTGTGCTCTGTTTATTATAGGCTGGGTATACATGCTCTATCTTAGCTGACTTTGTGTGCCTTTGTATCCAGAGCAGAACCACGAAGCCTGAAATAAGAGCTTTAACTGCTGTATTCTTTAGCAGCGTTTTATTGAAAGTAATTAACGTGTACAAATATAAAATATATTCACACAATTAAATTCCTGTATTTTGTTTTTTGCTGTAAGAAAAACACATTCCAAACATATGGTTTCTCTGCCTGCACCTCAAAAGCCAGTCCTGAGCTCAAGTTTTCTCTGTGGTGTTCCTTCCATGTTCTCACCACGGCGATGAATGGACGGTTAGGGAAAGTTATTCTCTAGAAGCAACAGCTTTACTGCTGTGTAACTTACTCTCAAGGACTGTATAATGCAAACTGCAGTTTTTAGAAGGCACGTTTAAGATTTTTCCGGACACTGAAGAACCGTGTTTGTCCAACCAGAGCTGCAGCAGAAGATGGAGCAGCCTGATGTCACCCACAGAGCACAGCACCTGCCCAGAGCTCTGTCACAGCACCGGTTCAGAATGAGACGAGCTTGAGATGCACTGCTCTTGGGTGGTGTGACCAGATGCAAGAGAAAGCCCACCACTGCTGGCTGCTTAGGCCGAGTGACTACGGTATTTGGCCAGCTGCTGCAGGAACTCTTATTTTGAGTTGGCTTTGTAACTTTTTTTAAATACATATAAATCCTTCTAAGGCTGCAGATATTTAGGTTGCATTCTCCATTTAAAAATAAATCAACCTGCCATTAAGCAGCCATGTGTAATAAAAAGCAAAGTTTTCTCCCAACTCCTCAAGGGATAGAGACACAGAGTACTTTCCCTGAAAAAAAGTAAAGGAACTAAGCAAGCTGCTTTGTTGCTCTCCAACTCTTTCCAGGTGTTTTTCACGATGAGTATCAGAGGAAGGGCACTATCGTTTCTATTACTGAACAAATAAACAACTCAACATACATAAACAGGTTAATGCATGTACGTATTTTACCTTACATACTACGAGCAGCAACTCCCAGCTCTACGGGCTGTCAGGTTTCCCTGACAGCTTTGCCACATGACCGCTTAAGCTGGCATATACAGAGTAAGAAATCAATTCTTTCTGAAAGAAGGCAAAATCAAACCAAACCCAGCAAGACTCTTCAGAAAATAACCACAGTCCCTATCAGAGAAATACATAAATACTCCTAGTAAGATCAGTATGATCGCGTTCATCTCTGCCAAGTAAAAGCAGCACTCGTAAGGTAACAATACTGACCACCAAAATCCAGTGATCATAAATCCCCATGACAAAATGCACACACCTTCCCTGGGTACTGCAGCCACATCCCTCTTACAGGGAGCTGCCCAGACCCCTCTTCAAAGAGGTGGCAGTGAGAGGGAACGTGAATCAGGAAAGATATATACACCCTCTTCATGTATTTTTGTTGTTCTCACATTTTCAGTAAGCTGGGTGAGTCTGCGAGACAAACTGGATAAACAAGTTGGGACAAAAAGTGTCATTTAACAGTAGCAGTCTGTGTGATTTTCTGGAACCAGCAATCCACTCTGTGTAGTCACTACTCTGATGTGAAGCAGCACGGTACAATTGTGATTTAGAGCCCAGAGGCCTTCAAAAAGTAACAACTTTGGGTACTTTCACTTTTGGTTTTTGCAGTTTCGATGTTTCTGTAATGTCTTCGTAATCTGCACTCATTCCAATGGCCCATCGCCCGACTGTAACCTGGTCTGCAGAGTGAGAGACAAGAGATTATGGAATGGCCAAGAAACACCATTACAACAAAATTTGGCATTTGAGGAAGACGTGTTTAAACCCAAAATTTTTAAAAGCGTGTTTTGTAAACTCCCTTTCTTCCCTCATGCATATTGTCAAGATTCAGAAATCATTACTACCTATTTTTCTGTATTTAACTGTCCAAAGAAACATTCAAAGAGTACGCAGATGATAATGTTAGCTATCACATAAATCCAAGTAACTCTTCCAATGAAGATTTCAGACTATGACAAGCACCTCTGGATAAAAAGGAAAGACCTTCTCTGTCAAACAGATGAAAAAAATAAGCTTGAGGAGGCACAACAGAGCAAAATCTACATTTCTCAACTTACATTCCTGCATGTAATGCATGGAGCAGCTCTGCTATGAAAACAGGCTGCGGGAGCTGGGATTGTTCAATCTTGAAAAGAGAAGACTTCGGGGGGACCTAACAGCTGCCTTCCAATACCTGAAGGGAACCTACAGGAAGGCTGGGGAGGGACTTTTTACAAGAGTGTCCACTGATAGGACAAGGGGAAATGGGTTTAAGCTGAAGGAGAATAGATTTAGATTGGTCCTTAGGAAGAAATTCTTCACTACGAGGGTGTCAAGACTTTGGAATAAATTGCCCAGAGACGTTGTGGCTGCCCCCTCCCTGGAGGGGTTCAAGGCCAAGTTGGACCTGATCTAGTTGAGAGGCGTCCCTGCCCACGACAGGGAGGTTGGACTAGATGATCTCTAAGGTCCCTTCCAGCCTAGGCCAATCTGTGATTGATTCTATGATTCTACGTAATCAACATCATCCTTTTGCTGCTCAAACACTTCTTAGAAATTCACACCCCTTTCCTAGACAAAAACACCTTTACCCAATTGATATTTCTTTTCTGAATGACAATCTAACTTTGAGAGCAACAAATCAAATCATACCAAAAATATCACATGGATAAATCAATGTTTAATTTATTAACTTCTGTGTATTAAAGCAGGCCAAATAACTCTAGCTGAAAAAGTTATATGCTGTAGTGCCTAAACTTCTCTGCCAGCTTCTATGATCTTCCAGCAATTATCTGCATGATGCAGATTTCAGAGAATATTACAAGTGTTAACAATGGCATCATGGGTCCAATTAATTCATCTGTTTTTAACCAGCGATACTAGTTTTGAAACATTGAAAAGATGTCCCCTGGGAAATTAAGCAGCAGTCGTCAGTCTTCATTATGGACATAAAACTTCTCAAGAAAAGGTAGAGCCCTATTGCCAGAGAGCAGAAAGACTTGCACTGGACTGTGCTGACAACTAAGGCTGCCCTTCCCTGCTAACAGCTGGCCCCGCTTCGGGAGATGCCATTCCCTACAAATGCTTCTTTTATCCTCCTGCATCTGTACAGGGTTTTGGTTGGTTTTTTTTTGATTTAAAAGAAGCGTTAACCACACAAAGGTAGTCTGCCACACACGTGGTGTGCTGAAATCCAACAAGGGCTACCTGACAGGCTTTCAACTCAGCAGTCATCTGGCAGGGCACTGCTCAACAACCTGCTACGGTCAACAAGTTTGAGGAGGTGTTAAAGTTTTTTCATAACAGAAGCTTCTATCATATCAATTAAGATTCAATCTCACTTGCTCTAAACTAGGGATGCAGCACACATCTAGCATGGTCTTGGATGCAACAATATCATATATATAAGTTCAAATATAGGAAATGGCTAAATCACAGATTGCCTCCCTAAGTATTTCTTACACAAACTTCAAAGAACTGGCCCATTAACCCAAATGTTAACAAAGGAAAAATGCACAAATGTGTAATCACTTCAGTAACAGAATCATTCCTCAAACTCTTGTTTGACGCTTTTGCGCTCCTTAGCACAGTATTATTATTTTTTTATACTTTTACTTATTTTTTTATCCTTTTTACACCCACGCAGATAACTGAAAAACATGTAAGCAGCTTATTAGCTGGTGAATGCAGTTGGACAGATCTCCTGTCTCCTCCTCTTCTCCTGTCCTGAATGAGTTGAAGACTTGTCTGCACACATGGCTTTTACAAGCTACCAGTACCACCGTATTTAGCTTCACTTCACATGGAAATCTCCAAAAGAAGAAACCAGCTTTGTTCTACAGCTGCTAAGTTGTGAACAGCAGCATAAATACTGGCTAACAAACACACAATAGCTCCTATCATCTTCAGAAACCCACAAGGTAGATTATTATCTTTTAATATTAAGTTCAAGTTTTGCATCACAACATCTCCACACACCCCTTAATACAAGCACTCGTTCCCAAAGGCAGGTCACCTTTGCTATTTGCAAACTCTCTTCTCAAACCCTTTTTCCTGACCAGTGTCAGGCAAAGCAGCAAATAAACGTTACTCAGTTGTGCACTCAAACTCCACTCCGTATACTCCCCTGCATCTGACCTGCATTCTGTTTTTCTGGACAGTCTTTTCGGAAGTGCTCCACAGAGCCACAAAGTCTGCAGCTGCCACCTGTTAGAGAGGGAAGGTAGTTACTCCTGTGAGGAAGGGAAAAAAAAGAAGACAAAAAACCAAAAACAAAATACCTGAAACACAACCCTCTTAAACTGTTTTAGTTTTATATGTAAATCAAAAAATCTCATTCTATTTATTTGTAGCGACAACCTGTAAATAAGACACGGAAATGGGCCAACAGATAGGTCTGTACTCCCAGGCACAATCACAGAGCAGATATGCAGCCAGCTTTGGAAGCCTGCAAATACAGCTACTTCTGCCTCCGTGTCTCTGATGGACAGACAGACAAAGCTGTCTGTCATCACACTGCTCTGTGAAGCATCACAGACTACAACTTCCAGTCACTACATACTGAGTATTTCTGACTTGTTGGAATCTCTCTTTTTGAGAAACAAGCTTAATTCTGCTGATACTCAGACTGAAATCGGTGTCTGACATTAACAACAGCTCCTGAGACGGGTCATCCAACTGCATATACTAAGATAAGAAATATAAATTCTACTCATAATCCAAACATTGGAAGGAAGGTGATTTTTCTTCCAATCTAACTACGCTGTAAGATAACCTTTTTAAATTCGCCAGACCTCAAGCCTGTGCTGGGAGACACTGGAAGACATAATGCTCTTTGTTATTGCCAACAGACGAATCAGGCAGAGCAGAATCTGAGTGAAATCTTCAAACTTCAATCACATTTCAAATTAAAATCACATAAACTGAAGACATCCTCTGCCTAGTGGGAGACCTTTTTGTGACTCCCAATGCCTTACGCTACAGCATAAGAGTATGTTTTTACCAGATATTTTGGTATATGTACATTTAAATACACATCAGCTACGTTTCTTTCCGCGCTTCTCCGAAATCCCTAGATAATCAATATTAACAATGAATTCCCGATAATTAATCTGCTTTTACCGAGAGTAAAAGGCCTTCGTAAATATCCTATAGTCAGATCCTCTTTCACTTGCAATGACACTTTGTTCTCTCAGTTAAGTATGAGAAATGTGTTTTGGTTTTAGTAAATTAGTTACTCACCTTCAGCATACAATCCCTTGGGATTATCTGGACATGATCTTGACAGATGCCCCATCTCACCACAGATGAAACATTTTGCATATGGAAATGCCCCTGTAAAATCCCATACATTTTATGATCCACATTAAAAACTTTGTAAAGTCACAGACAACTGTAAATACACTATAATGATAGTATTTTATTACACTTTTATATTACAAACACTCTACCGTCTCTTACACTGTTAGGTTCACTGCTATAATATTGTATTTCCTTAAAACATATGAACCTATCTCCTCAGACAGTTAAATTACTAAAACACAAAGTTTGTATTTCTGTAGTCAGAAAACTCAGACCAAAGCATCTCAAAAAATACAGATTTCTGAGACATACCAACTGCTGGATCTATTTTTGCTTTGCATTTGCTGATGTCATGTTCTGTGGATCCACACCGGTAACAGATTCCTGTACCCATATCTTGACTTTCAAGAACTGCAGCACAATCAGCAACACCGTGGCCAGGTTCTCTACAGTGGAAACATACCTTTGAAAATAAAAATTAAATTACACGCATTTTTGCAGACAGCTCACAAAGCAAAATACAGTACGTAGAGTTGACATTACTACAGAATTCATTTACTCCTATTGTATGATTATCACTTATTGCCAGCAGATTTCTACTAGATTACCATCTCTTTTGGCTGAAACCTTGAGGGTACCATCTGACATGTATCTCTAGTGTTGAGATTTGAGGACATGGCAAGATTCTGTGAATGGCACCTAAAGAACTGAAGACCCCACTCTAGTAAAGCCTTCAGGCTTTTTAAGTTAACATATGGGGGATTTCTCTCCACAAGGAAAAATTGCTGTCAGTGGTCTACAGAAAAAAAACAAAACAAACTGTCAGTGGTCTATGCCATTAAACCATATTATTGTGGGTATTTTTACCAAAACCACACCATACAGGGTATTCACTCATTTGACAACAGAGTGCCCAGGATGAAAGATGATTTTAACTGCAGCACAGTTCTCCAAGCTTTTTAAGCAGTAATGCAGAAGTCACTAGTATCTCAAGGTGGCCTAAAAGAAAGCTGGTGAGGAACTTTTCAGGATGTTGGGTCATGATAGGACTAGAGGGAATGGATTAAAGCTAGAGATGGGTTGGTTCAGACTGGACGTTAGGAAGAATTTCCTCATCATGAGGGTGGTGAGACACTGGCACAGGTTGCCCAGAGAGGGGGTGTAAGCCCCATCCCTGGAAGTTTTTAAGGCCAGGCTGGATGGGGCTCTGGGCAACCTGATCTAGTGGGGGATGTCCCTGCCCATGGTGGGGGGGTTGGAACTAGATGATCTTTAAGGTCCCTTCCAATCCTGACAATTCTGTGATTCTATGAAATACAAGCAATGTTACATCAGTCTTATAATTTGCTGCTGAAGAACTTGGATAGCTCAGATTAATGAGCAGTAACTCTCTTTACTGTGTTCCCAGATTACATTTAGCACAGGTTTGTGCCGAGATAACTGCTCTTGGAGAGTCTCTTTAAGAGTCTGATGGAGACTGCGCTCCAATTCTCAAGCAGAAGACACTGCGGCCCCCAAGCAGCAGGATCCCTGTGCTGGTGAATCAGGTGCAGAGATGCGCTGAACTAGTCTCACGCGGGAGACATGAGGGACTGGGAATTCACCAAGGGCAGCAAGAACAGCGCTGAACCGGAAAAACGGTGCTGAAGGCTACGACTTAAGCTGAAATTCATTGTTGGTCTCAAAGGCGAGCCACTTGAGCTCACTTTGTTACCTTGAAACGCCGGCCGGCACAGGCCTCCTCACGCAGCCACCTCCCGGCAGGCTCGGCAGAGCGTAAGGACCTGCCTTCTCCCACGCGGGGCTCTCCCCAGCGCTCTCACCCGACGCCGCAGATTCCCAACCGCCCCCCGCACTGAAGGCACAGCTCACCATGGCGTTTTTCAAAATCTTCCCCCCCCTCCCCCCCCGCCGCTTGTCCTTCTTCAAGGCTAAGGCCACCTCTTTCTCCAGCTCGGAGTCGCCGACCCCCGAGCTCCGCCCCAGGTACGCCTCAAACCCGTTCACGTCCTCGTTCGCGTAGTCCTTCTTCTTTCTGTTCTTCTTCTTCTTCCTCCTCTCCTCCTGCTCCTTCCTC